AACACCAAATTGTTAAGAGCAGACTCCAACTTAGCAAGAAGAAGAAAGAAAGACGGCCAAAAGACTGCCGGAAATAACACAGAAAAACTAAGAATTCACCAGATAGATGAAGAGAGTCTCTAACTTCTACTATTTTATAAGATAAGGGATTAAGATTCGGTAAAAATATGAGGGTGTCCAGTTGGACCGGCCGGTCCAGACCAGTTATCAAAACTTTGAAGAGAAAAAAACCTATTACGTGATCAAACCAAACCGTTACCACGTGAACCGGTTAGCGTTAAAATAAACCATTTTTCCCATTTGGTTACACTGATCGGAGAGCTCCGACGACACCGGTGAGTAATTTATCGACGTCTTCGCAAATCCAAATAAATCTGTGGATGAAATTAAGAATCACAGATTTCTGAATGGTAAGTCCGTCGGAACAGTACACTCTTCCAGAAACTAGGGTTTATTGTTTGTCCCCTTAATTTTTGATTTCCGATCTGCTTTTTCGATCCTGGGTTTCGTTTCATGAATTAGGCTCTGTTTATTACTTGGCCAATCGTTTGTTTTTAGAACTTGTTCTTCGATTCGATGTTGGAGAATTATAAAAGTTGGGCAATTGAGTCATAAATCATCTGCACCAATCTGGATTGGTGTTTCACATAATTAGTCAAGAGATTGATTTTGCAGGGTATGGTTAAGCTAAATCGATCATTCTATTAATAAACCTTGGCTCTTCTCTTTTAATGATAAGGAAATGAATCTTTCTTTGTAAGATCTTCGAAGAGAGTCTGAGTTTTTGGCTCTTCTCTATTCAAATTACAAGGAATTGAGTCATTTTTGTAAGATCTCGAAGAGTCTGTGATGTCTTTGAGTTAAGCTGCGGTAGAAGCTAGCTCTGATAAGATAAAAACTATTTTATGAATGCATGTGTCTTAATTCCTCCGGATTCCTTGTTTGCAATGTATTTGCCACTTACTGTTGTGTCCTCTATCGTATCCTCTACTTAGATCACCAAAAAGTATTGCTTGTTTTTATGAATTGAACAATGGGTGCAACATCTCATCCAATAAGTGAGTTTGATTGATATTCCCTTTGATTGGAGA